CTTCATTAATATGCTCACACTTGGAGACTCAGATACATAGAGTTAGGACCACACTTTGCAGAGGTGCCTTGGCGCGGCAGTGTGGCTTCTACATATTTTTGGCCAAAAGTTTGTGCAACTAAAACCTCTGATTTTAACGCATACTGTTGACAGGGCTACTTGTTTGGTTGCAGGCTGGCTGGCAGGTTGGGGCTGGGGAATTTCAGTGTTTTGTAGGGATCCTCTGGCAGTCGCCGGCCAGCTAAATTAGGACCCCACCTGGAGCTCCTCCCACTGGACCAGCGCTGACTCGCCGCTGCTCTCCCGCACCGAAGGTAAGTGAAAAAAAACAAAAAACATAGCGCAAACATCGGGGCATTTTGACAAGTACAAGTACTTGTCAAAATGCCCTGTTTTTTCCGCCCTCACCCTGCAGCGCCCTCAGGCGGCCGCCTGACTTGCCTTGCGGTAGCACCGGGCCTGGTTACGCCCCTGTATACTGCTGTCATTGTATGATACTAATCCTGACTTTTTTGTTTTCCTAAACAGAATAAAAACAGGAAAGAAAGTAACAAAACGGTGGAATCGGAATTCTGCAGAAGGAATGAATGGAAATGGCAAAGTTGACCCTCGAACAGGCTGTAATAGAGCGACAGAACAGAGGAAATCAAGAAAAATGGGGCGAGCTAAGTGTTTGGCACCTTTTATAACTAAGCCAACTCTTTTTTGGGGGGGGAGGGGCTACTCTTGTGATGGGGTATCAGTGGTAACTGCCTAGAGCTCAGACACCGCACTGGCTCTTGCGAGTTGGGGGAATCACATCCCAGATGCCGCTTGCAGCAACCGGGATGCGGTTGTGGAGCGCGCCGCGGCCGATGGGTACAGCCAGCTGCGATGAGAATAATAGACCTCAGCGATGTCTCCGCGCCCCGGCTTGGCCCCCCGCCGCATGCAGATCGCTGATCGCTGCCTCATCTCTGTGGAAAAGCTGTTGCGTCCCCGGCAGACGTCCCACAGGATCGCGGGCATAAAAGAAAAACTCTTCTTTGACCTCCCCCCAACCCCCCTCGGAATGAAGTTGATATAATTAACCGTTTCCCTGCCAGTTTGTCAGGCTGAACCGGCTCTGCCCTTGAAGGTCTACATCTGTCAACGTTAACCCTTTACTGTTCTGTCCGCAATGTACGAACCCTTTTTGTTCATTGATCAACGACTTGAGACCGAGTCATCCTTTCCAAATGCCCTCACGGGGGGCTTGAATGGCTAGATCTAGCAATATTAACCCTTGGCTGCCCAATGGTGCCCCTTTAAAGGCCATTAACCGTTTTCTGTCCACATCCAGTGGGATGAAGGTGCAAACCCGGTTGGAAAGATTAACTCTTTCTTCCCCACTGCTTATCATCTTGATGGATACCAACTTCCTAGATGCCCTTGGGGGTGAAAGTTTGCATTAACCCCTCGTCTCTCGCCAAGCTGATATCTGTAGGTATTGGTTTCTCCCTAGCTAAGAGGCTGAACCAATGTTCTCAGTTGCCCTTGGAGGTGGAAAAATCTCTGCATCGAAGAGTGTTAACCCTTCAAGGGCAGCTGTGGCATCCCTGGCCTCAGCGTTGCTGGCCACGGGGGGCCACTCTGGGGGCCCCTCAGTCCTCCTGCAACAGCAGACCCTTTAACACCTTAATTTAACAAGTGTGTGTGCGTGAGATGTGTGTCTCTCCTCCTCCCCTTTCAGCCCAGGTCTGAGGCTGAGCCGGTGCTTTCCTCCCCTCCCATTGTCTGTACAGCACAGTGAGTTAATGCAGAAATCCCAGCCCTGCTCTCTGCAGCCAGCTCTCCCTCCCTCCCCGTGTCTCTGCACCCCTCCGGAGTATCGATGTGATTGTCTCCCCCTCTCTTTCCCTCCCCGGCCAGGGCTCTGCAGCTGTCTCTGTACTGGGAAAGGTGGAATCAGCAGCCAGCATCACCGACAGCAGCATCAGCACCACTCGCAGCATCCTGAGTGTATCAGGGTAAGTCCCATCCTCCTCCCCAATGATAGCTGCGTCACTTGCATAGGAAGCCACTTGCGGCAACAGTGACTTATAGGGCTTTGCAGTGTTGACCTTAAGTGTGCTTGCTGTAGGGGGGTATAATGCATACATAGCCAGGATGGATAGATGCTGCTTGCTACAGGTTGCAATGACCATCCACATTCATACTGCGGAGGAACCAACCTGTGGCTAAGCAGCTGCCGTAGCACCAGTTAAGCATGCTGGGATTTGTAGTTCTACAACTGCTTTGAAAAAAAAAAACCACAGGCTTGCATCTTTTCTTAAAATCCATTTGCTACTGTGAATAGTATAGTGGCTCACATACCATATTCCTTTTTAGAAGCCCTAGCCATGCTGGGACTTGTAGTCCAACAGAGCCACAGGTGGCCTTTAATTTTGATCCCGCAACTCCGTTCAGGCGCAGAGTACGCCGTACAGGCACGAAACGATTGCAGGCTGTGTACAGTTGATACCAAAGCCGTTTCAATTAGGGGTTGTTTAATGAGTAGAGCAATGATGACGTGTGAAGTGCCATAGCCCGCACAGGCACCAATGAGGCGTAACCTTTCTTCGGGTTACAGCGGGAGGAACTAATGAGAGATCACTGCCGATTGGTCGACCTGACTTTCTCTACTTTGTATGTTGCTACTGGCCTCAAGAAAACCTTGATGTCTCATTTGGCCCCATAGGGTATGTATAGGCGGCATGCGTGCCATGGGTTGTCTGCAACATTAGACGTCTTGTTATCAAAGGTCACTTGCCCTAAAGTGTCAACTGTCTGGCTGTGACACTTGCTAGAGATTTGGGGACACAAGTCTGTGTTCTTACTTTCCTCATGTAGACAAATATGACAACATAGTGAAGGCATTTTCACCTACGGCACCGCATAACCGATGCGGGGTCTCGGCACGGTCACATACGTGACGTCACGCTTATACCCCCTCCAATCTGTAAAAGGTTAGAACACTGTTTGTGACATTCCAGGGTTATGTAAACTGTGTCTGGCTGGGATAAAACATCACCAACAGTCTCCGTGTGAAAGAACTGTCTAGCTGCAGTGTTTGTGGTCCCTTGAAGGCCGCTAACACTACTTGCTGTGATGCTGACATGGTCTGTGGCGCTGTACCATAACAGGCGGCATGGAACGCTAAGGAATTGCACAGGTGTCTGTATGTAAGGTTGACCTCCAAGTCAAGTGATATGTTTAAAAATACATAAGCTGTAGCTCATTGCCTGCGACTGCGTTTTACTTTTTTGGATGCATTTTTGTGGGAGACGAGCTCGTTTCACAGCAGAGTTCGGCCTTTGCTAAGCACAGCGGGGGTCTGCTTGGGGCACAAAGAGTTTCTGAGTGTCCTCAGGACCACGCTAGTGATTGCAGACTGTGTGGTCTGGGCAAGAATCGAACCCACCAAGAAGGTCACCTGTGTACCTGCAGCTGTGTACTTATGGGAGCTTTACACTTCAGGCTAGCAGGTGTCAGGCAGGGCCAGTTTTAGAGTTAGTGATGAAGGGCCACAGTTGTGCCAGGTGGAGGTAACCTGATATTCCATGTGTTCCCTAATAATAATTCTAGTTTTTGATAAAAAGTTCTGCTTTAATTAGTGACCCCCGGTAATTTACAGGGGGTTTGTGGGCCGCCAACTCATCCAACTTGTTCCCAATTGGTCACCACATCATGTAGGGGCATTATGGGATTATGCAGTCATCCAACCATAGATAGGAGAGGGAAAACAAAAGGCTTGGTCACTAAATGTGTCTATCTATCTATCTCTCTCTCTCTCTCTCTCTCTCTCTCTGTCTCTCTATCTATGTATCCCATGTCTCTCTCTCTCTTTCTCTCTCTCTCGCTATGTATCCCATGCCTCTCTGTCTCTCACTCTCTCTATCTATGTATCCCATGTCTATCTATCTATCTATCTATCTATCTATCTATCTATCTATCTATCTATCTATCTATCTATCTATCTATCTATCTATCTATCTATCTACCAATCTTCTATATTATCCTTCATCAATGTGGGAAACCCAACATTTTAGAGTTTTCTCCAGAGCAAGAAGTAAGGGGAAATCATCCAATGGGGCAAATATTCAGTTGACAGCTGTCTAAGATGTTGTACCTCTGGGACAGGAAGTGAAAGGAAATTGCAGCAGCAGGACAAAGGAAAAAAAAAACACAAAAACAAAAACTCTCTGCTGTCTCTCCAATCTCTGGCACTGATGGAGTCATGTTTTGTACAGTGAGGTTGTTGTTTAGTCGGCATACTTATATTGGGAAGGCCAAGAAAATAGAGTCATAGTAACCATAGTCAGGGTATGTACAGGGCGGAATTTCCCACAAGGCCAACCAAGGCCCGGCTTTGGGGCAGCAGGGAGTAGAGGGGCAGCAGGGGTGAGGAATTCCTATCTCCCGATGCATGGGATATGCAGTTCCGGGCGCCGGGCAGGTAGTTGTTTTCTACATTTAGCCCTGGAAGCAGAGCTAAATGTACAGCGGGGAAGTCGCTGGGCCTTAGTATGCATAAGGCTCCATTCACACTGGAGCGGCTGTCCGCGCGTATTCGGCTGACTGGATACGTGCAGAGTCGGTCTAAACAGAGAAAACAATTTCGTTTAATGTACATTGTTCAGACTATTGCGGGGACCCCAAAATAGTACAAGCGCGATATAAGGGCAGATTAAGCAAGTTCGCTGCTATTTAATAGCCGCAAATGAGCAGCATCTGTGCAGATTAAACATTTTAGCGTTTTTGTCCCGCACAGTCTTCCGCGGGAAAGGCAAACGCTATATGTGAATGGAGTCAGAGTCTGAATAAGTTGAAGTATAACTAAAGTCTCTGTTGTTTTTTTTTTGCATAAATCTACTGCTAGCAGGCAGTAGATATAAGCAAAAACATTTTAAAAAGTTACTAAAAAGGTAAATACTTACCTGTGTCTCCGCCACTCGCTCCCGTCTGAAGATCTGGAGCTTCTCAAGCGGCCGAGCAGGATGATGGGGCGGGCGCAATGCGCAGGATAGAGCTCCAGCGGGGAGAAGAGGAGAGACACAGTGGAGGTGAATGCACGTAGCCGGGAGCGTGCACGTCGGACAGACAACGTGGGACACGAGGAGACCGGCACCAGCACTGGATCAGAGACCGGCACCAGCACTGGAGAGATTGCTGGAAACAAGTGGAAGGAAGAAGATGATCGGATCAAGAGGCATCATTTAAGGCACACAGGCAATGTAGCGTCAGTGAGAGGCTTTATGAGCTGTTGAAGGCTAAAAAATACATAGTTACGTAGTTAGTCAGGTTGAAAAAAGACACAGACAAGACACAGACAAGTCCATCGAGTTCAACCTATAGAGATATGAAAGAAAAAAAAAAGAAAAGCCTAAACAGAAGGCTATGCCCCCAATTACCCCCTGTAGAGGAAGGCAAAAAAACCCTCTATAAAGCATGGTTCAATTTGCTCCAACAGGGGAAAAAAATTCCTTCCTGATCCCATAAGGCAATCGGATATTCCCTGGATCAACAATCTCTGATGCTTAATATACCTATACATACTTACATTTACTTAACTTAAAACATTTCCCCAAAGCTGAACTCTGGGATAAGCAAACATTGTCTAAATACAAGATCTACGTGTATTCTTCCTCGAATCCTGGTGAGCTCTGTGTATTTGTTCCAGATCTGTGCAGTAATCCAGGTTGAGACTTCCTGTAATAACGGCCACTGCTGCTCACTCCTTGTGCAGGGTGACTGGTCTTGTCTCCGCCCCCTCCTGTATTAAAGACCGGTCTTTATTACAGGAGGGGGTGGAGACAAGACCAGTCACCCTGCACAATCAGAGAGCGCAACCGTGACCGGTCTTTATTACAGGAGTGGGTGGAGACAAGACCAGTCACCCTGCACAAGGAGAGAGAGCAGCAGTGAGCGGTCTTTATTACAGGAGGGGGCAGAGACCAGACAAGTCACCTTGTACAAGGAGAGAGAGCAGCAGTGAGTGGTCTTTATTACATAAAGTCTCACACTGGATTTCTGCACAGATCTGGAAGAAAGACACAAAGCTCACCAAGATTCAAGGAAGAACACACATGACTCTTGTGTTTAGAAACTATTTGCTTATCCCGGAGTTCAGCTTTAAGTGTGAGGGGGTTGCTTAAGTGTTACATTTTTACTACCATGCAGGAAGGAAAGCTTTAATCCTGTAACCAGTTTGCAGCAAAGTGCCCCGCACCAACCTAACAATGGCAAAAATACAATTCAGTGGCTTGAATGGTAAGCATGGCTCTGCCGAGAGCTCTGAGTGCTATTCACACCAATGTAATCATCTGTGTAGAAGAATCTTGTGACATTTACCTCCCATTCTTATCCTTCAGACAGGCAAATAAAAGATAATACACATACAAAAAAAAAACCCACCGGAGCTTTTCTATAGCAAAAGAAATTCTTTCACATTTCAGGCGCTAACCTTACCGATCGCATCATCTGATCTGACCGATGACCATGTGACACTGTGCCAATTGCGGACTGTTCTTATTGGAAGAACTATAGACATTTTCCTTCAGTCTTTTGGTGGTTGGAGAACTGAGGGTAGTCTTACCTACATGACTGAGCTTTATACATGGATGAATGTGCATTGACACATACATGATACATTGATGCATACATGATACATTGATACAAAATGAAATAAGAAGCCTAAAAGGGAAAACTAATGCAGCCACCAGATCTAAGGACTGGTAATGGGCAATATATTACATTTTTGGCCTTTGGTTTAACATGCTTGAATGATGTTTTAATCATAATTAGGGATGCACCGATACCAAGTACCGTACTCGGTACAAGTACTAGTACAGATACTTTTTGAGCTCCAAGACTAGACTAGAGAGAAATTAAAAAATTAGGAGGCAGCTGTCATTTGTAAGGAGCACACGGAGCTCCTGGGATTTGTACATCTCTGTTTATATGTATGATTTTGTTTTTATAAATATATAGAAGTGATGCACCGATACCATTTCTTCAAGTACAAGTACTGATACTTACCCAAGTCCTCACAGATACGAGTACTGATACATTTTTGTTTATTGTCATGTGAGAGTTTTTCTAAAACAATACAGACTAATGATTTCTGGACAGTGGTGGAGTGCCAGAGCCCGGTCCCAGCTGCAACCGCTGCAACCCTGATAGTTCTCATGAAAATGCCAAGTATCGGCACTGGTATCTGAAAAGTATCGGTGCATCCCTAGTTTTAATGAATACCAAGCCACATTCATATGTGTCTTTTATGTCTGCCTGGAATTAGGATTTAAGTAAGAAGAGAACTCCATTAGGAAGAAGTCATTGGTTCCTTCAGTAGGACGTAGCCCTTCCCCTGGATGTTATTGCGCACATGTCCTTCTGTCAGGTGCTCATGCTAGCTTTGTAAAGCCGTAGCCAAGACTTACATGACTAGTTCTCTTTAACAGTGTCACTAATGTGCATTTTTTTATGTACAGAAAAGTTTTTGGCCATGGTGTCATTGATGTGTGACGGCCCTTTAATCCCTCTGGGCATAAAGTAGTTTAGAAAATAAGAGTGGAGAAAATGGATCTTCTGGCTGCTCAGTGACAGTTTATTTTATGGACCAGCGCTCTACCAGGTGTGATGGTTTATTGCATCCTTTATGCTAAACGCATTAAACAATCAGCAAGAAGGAGAAACACAATGGTACTGCCTGGCAGAGCGGGACCCGGGTACTCCTAATCATTCTGTTGTGTGTTCTTGCTGAAGCTTGAAGCTCAATTGAACTCTGTATTGATTACTGATGTATCCAGGGTCCCTATACGGCAATAAATCTGCTGATTTCAGGGTTTTTTTTAAAATTTGCATTTCAAGTGCCGCAGCAAGGGTTAAAATACCATGTGCTCGAAATTATGTTGGTGAGTCTGACCATTGCTCTCCCAAAGAATGCCATCTGAACCCCCTGCTCACTCCTCCAATCAACAGTGCTGCTGAGGGAGTGAGATCCCTCACTTCGAGTCTAATATGCTCCCCTGTACACTCCTCCAATCAGCAGGACTTTCACTCCCTGAGCAGCACTGTTGATTGAAGCAGTGTGCATGGGGGGGGGCGTTATTATGGACTACTACTCTAACTCACACACAACAGCCTGAGTCTCCAGTGGTGGAACGCTCCCCCTGCACACTGCTCCAATCAGCAGAGCTGCTTAGGGAGGGAAAGTCCTGTTGTTTGGAGCAGTGAGCAGGGGGGCGTTTTTGGACTAAAGCTCTAACTCACCAGCAGCAGCCGAAGCCTGCAGCAGTGCTGCATTGCCCCCTGCACACTGCTTCAAACAACAGTTCTGCTCAGGGAGTGAGAGCCCTGTTAATTGGAGCAGAGTTCAGGGTGTATATTGGACCGCTGTGCCACACTCCCCTCTGCACACTGCTCCAAACAAAAGTGCTCTCAGGGAGTGAAAGTGTTGTTGATTGGAGCAGCGTTCAGGGGGCAGTATATTGTACTGAAGCTCTAACACACCAGCAGTAGCACAAGCCTGCAGCAGTGCCGCAATCCCCCCTGCACACTGCTCCAAACAACAGTGATGCTCAGGGAGCGAGAGTCCTGTTAATTGGAGCAGTGTGCAGGGGGAGTATATTGGACTGCAGCTCTAACACACCAGCAGTGGCCCAAGTGTGCAGTGGTGCCACACTGCCCCTTTACACTGCTCCAATCATCCTCCTCCCTGCAGCAGACTGGTGACATCATCTGAGCCTAGGCAAGGGTCACTTGACTGGAGCTCAATGACTGCTGTTATTGGTAAAAGGTGGAGCTTTCTTTTGGAAAATTATACTTTTGCTGTATACTGTGTCATGTCAGTGATTTATTCATGGAGACTTATAAAGTTACTGAAAGGTCCACTTTAAGGAACTGCTAAACTTCCATACAAGGCACTGCCCTAATCTCCCATGGATGGGGCTTTGTGATATTCACTTTTCAGTGCTGGTAGTTTGTGTCCCTGGAATGCATCTTTTTTGACTTGAATGACTGGAATGATTTAGGAGGTGATTGGACGATTTCCTTAGGGACCGTAATATACAGGGGTGCAAGTACTCTTAAGAATGAGAACACACAGTGACCTATACATACGCACACATCAGTAGGACCATACACACACACACACACACACACAATAGGTTGGACTTGATGGACATATGTCTTTATTCAACCGGACGGAAGAGGAGGCAGGGCCCGGCGAACACAGAGGCGGACATCGCTGACAGGTAAGAGGTGTGCAGCCCATCTGAGACCCTGCAGAACCCACTATAGAGAGTCTATGGTGGGCTCTCAGGTGGGCTGTTTGGTATATATTAGGTGGGCTCTGCAGGGCCACTCTCACGTGGGCTCTGCAAGGGGCATAACTAGCAATCACGGGGCCACATACAAAATTTTGCTATGGGGCCCTGTGATTTCTAGTTACGCCCCTGTATGTAACTATGTAATTCATTCTTTAATGTACACCTGTCAAGAGAGGAATGCATGGGCTGCCATTTTTCTTCTTCTGGAAATACATGATGCCTGGCCGTGCCTGGCTTCTATACTTGCGCATCACAAAGCTAAAATGAGCATGCTGCAAGTGAAAATTCGTAATTTATTCTTATAGTGTGTGCCCTGTGACTGTATCAGATGTGCTAATGCCAAAGCAATTAGCGAGCCAGGCAATTAGAATCCTCAGAAGAGCAGTCTCCTCCCTTCTTGCATGACCCGCTGCCCTCTCCTGATGTTGTCTTGTTTTGTCCTGCAGAAACAAGATGGATCTCCCTTTGTCCGACGCATTTTTTCAGGCGGACCTCTTTCGAGAGCTCCTGCTCAACGGCAGCTTCAATGACAGCATGTTCAACAGTACCAGCGACCGCTTCCTCCCGTTCGGGGTCCAGGTCACCATTGTGGTGGTGTACCTCATCGTCTGCGTGGTGGGGCTCGTGGGTAACTGTGCCGTCATGTACGTCATAGTCAGGTAAGGTCGTGCTTCGTATACTCTTGAAAGCTGGCCATAGTCACATGGTCTTAAATTGGACTTTTACTGAAATGTTAGCTTTAAATCTATGTTCATTGTCTGGCTGAGATGGATATATAAAGAGCACCAGAAGGGCTTGTGCTAGTTACCTTCCCCTGGAGAGGTGCTACTCTGAGCTCCTACCAGTGCTGACCAAAAGTCTAAGTCGTATGACCTCAGCCAATGCAAACAGTGACCCTCTTATACGACAACGATCACATAACCCACATAACCAACCCCCTAGGCTTTTGGTCATGTGACAGGCACTGGAGGGAGCCCTGGAGCATCATGTTCTCCTGCTAAAGGTACCTAATTCAGCACTTTTACTCTTAAATATCTCCGCAGGATTATTATTATAGCTGTTGAGTATAGACATGGTGCAAAGAAGACTCCGCTAATTCAAATAGCTACTGAAATTACTGAATACAGCGTATTGGCATGCTAAGCTTCAGTTTTTGGAAATAAACCGAATGTGTGTCAGCAGCTTCAAGAGGCTACACTGACCAGAAGCCTGTCCTTATTTAAAAAAAAAGAAGAACTCCAGATAAAGGCAAAAGCTTACCCTTGCAGTGGGGCTACCTCTTAGACCGCTGGAGTCCAGGGGAGAAGAGGCTGTGAGGACCAGACCAGAGGGAGCTGGCAGGTCCGAGGTTCAGGTGAGTAATACAGCTTTATTAGAGCCCCATAGACAAATAAAGCACTTTACCATTGCAGTGCCGGGATAGCCCCACTACATGGGTCATTTTTTTGTTTGCCTGGAGTTCTTCTTTAACTTAAAGTGACACTAAACTCAGAAGTTAAACCTTAAAAATGCATTCAAGTACCTTAACTATAATACTGGACCTTATTTGTGTATCACTCGGCTGTAGATCCTCAAATCATCACTGAATCGCTGTCCTTCCTTCTGGAGAGGGGGGGCTACTTTTGTTCCACATGGTTGTAAAGTAGTTACCGCTCCAAGCTCACTCCTGTGATGGACTACAATCTCATATTTAGTTTACTAATTTTGTATTGAGCTTGTAGTCCATCCTGGGAGCGAGCTTGGAGCGGTGACTACTTTACAACACGCATTTGTCCGACCATGGGGCCATGGGGAACACAAGCAGCCCCCCTCCAGAAGGAAGGACAGTTTTAGCACCAATTCAGAGATGATTGGAGGAACTACAGCCGAGTGATACACAAATAAGAGACATTTTTATTAATAGTTCAGGTACTTGAATGTATTTTTAAGGTTTAACTCCTGAGTTTAGTGTCACTTTAAAGGAAAAGGTATAGTTTGATTAATGTTTTTGTAGATATACATGTTAAAGAGATCAGCTTGATGTGACTAATGTTATGAATGTGTTAAAGTTTGAAAAATACTTGTTTCTTATCATTATATTTGTACAATAAGGTCGGTTATATTTGTTTATTACATGATAAAGGCAAAAGCTTACCCTTGCAGTGGGGCTACCTCTTAGACCGCTGGAGTCCAGGGGAGAAGAGGCTGTGAGGACCAGACCAGAGGGAGCTGGCAGGTCCGAGGTTCAGGTGAGTAATACAGCTTTATTAGAGCCCCATAGACAAATAAAGCACTTTACCATTGCAGTGCCGGGATAGCCCCACTACATGGGTCATTTTTTTGTTTGCCTGGAGTTCTTCTTTAACTTAAAGTGACACTAAACTCAGAAGTTAAACCTTAAAAATGCATTCAAGTACCTTAACTATAATACTGGACCTTATTTGTGTATCACTCGGCTGTAGATCCTCAAATCATCACTGAATCGCTGTCCTTCCTTCTGGAGAGGGGGGGCTACTTTTGTTCCACATGGTTGTAAAGTAGTTACCGCTCCAAGCTCACTCCTGTGATGGACTACAATCTCATATTTAGTTTACTAATTTTGTATTGAGCTTGTAGTCCATCCTGGGAGCGAGCTTGGAGCGGTGACTACTTTACAACACGCATTTGTCCGACCATGGGGCCATGGGGAACACAAGCAGCCCCCCTCCAGAAGGAAGGACAGTTTTAGCACCAATTCAGAGATGATTGGAGGAACTACAGCCGAGTGATACACAAATAAGAGACATTTTTATTAATAGTTCAGGTACTTGAATGTATTTTTAAGGTTTAACTCCTGAGTTTAGTGTCACTTTAAAGGAAAAGGTATAGTTTGATTAATGTTTTTGTAGATATACATGTTAAAGAGATCAGCTTGATGTGACTAATGTTATGAATGTGTTAAAGTTTGAAAAATACTTGTTTCTGATCATTATATTTGTACAATAAGGTCGGTTATATTTGTTTATTACATATGCAGGATCAGCTTTCTTCTATGCGGTTATACTCAACGATTGCGCCTTAGTGCTCCTTCTTTTAATACAAATGCATAGGAGACATTGATCAAAACTGTCTTATTGTTTGAAGCTGCTAAAACGTCGCTCCAAGTTAGAGACTTAGAGATTTATTTTCTGTACACTGTAGTGGAAATTTATCAAAACTGGAGCAGTTGCCCATGGTAACCAATCAGCTTCTCTCTTGAGTTTGTTCAGTTAAGGTTTGAAAATAAAGGGGCATGCTGATTGGTTGCCGTGCACAGCTGCTCCAGATTTTTTTCTGCTCCAGTTTTGATCAATTCCCCTCAATAAGCCTAATAAATTAGCTGATATGAAAATGAACATATCTGTTAGACCTGTAAGCTGCGGAAAAATAGTCGGTTCGGTTGGGATATTTCTTTATTTTGGAATTCAGGATTCTGATCCGAAATTCAGTTCGGTTTGGGTTTCGGATTCGGACGAAATCCGAATTTTCGTTCGTTTGGGATGAGTTTACGAACGTATACAGTATATTCATTACGATTACCACAGAAAACCATATACAGATATTAATACTAAAGCTGAGGCTCCTGGACCCGAATGGCATCCGAAGGAGCTCCCAAATGTCATTCATGCCTGGGATCCTCAGCTTTAGTAATATATGTATATGGCTCCCAGACTGGAATGGCATTCGGGAGCTCCTGAATGCAATTCGGAAATTCGGATCCCGAATGTCATTCGGGTCTGGGAGCCATATACTAAAGCTGAGGTTCCCAGACCTGAATGGCATGCTGGAGCTCCCGAATGCAATTTGGACTTTCGGATTTGGAATGCCATTCGGGTCTAGGAGCCTCATCTTTAGTATTATATGTATATGCAGTATATAGTGCCCATGTTGTCGTAATGAAAATACGTATTCAGACCCATTTGGATGCATTAAACCAAAAAACACATCTGATTGGCCAGACAAGTCACATGTACGATTCAGTCTCGTTTTTGAACAAGATTCGGACAGGATCCGAAATTCGGAAATGGAAATTCGTATTTGGACACATTCAGATGCATTGGGATTCGGATATGTGTCTAGTGTTTTGTCAAATGTGTCACCTTCCATGACTGTCTAGCACAGACATGAGATTTATTCTGACCGTTTTTGTTATTGACTTGTGAATTTTGGGGAAAATGAGGGTGACACTGTGTTCAGTACTACTCCCCTATTCTCTCCAAACAGTTTGGGGTTCGTCAGACCTGACTATCATCACAGTGCTTAGTAATTATAAGTTCTGCAGCAGTTGTGAGGTTAACTTTATCCCCAAAGTAGTGCTCACAATTGTGGCACAACTGAGAAAATAGGCGGACAGTCGCTATTCGGCCGTATGATCACGCAGAGCTAAATCTGCTGCTTTGGTTGCAAAACAGAGGCAAAGATTCATGCTAACACGTATGTGCTTTAAATAATACGCAGCTGGTTCAATAAATGCCCCCCTTATGAGTCAGCTGACCCACTAAAACAATGCACTCCCCTTGCAGATGACAACTCATTTCGGCAGTTGTTAAAGAGGTAGGTTGAACGAAGGGGAGCCAAATTGGAAGCGCCCTCTAGTGGCCAATCTGCAAAACTCCAGAACACAGGCATGAAATGAGTAAGCATGGCGAATTGCAAAAGTCACAATAAAACTTACTCTAAGGTCAACAATGTAACAATGACTCAAGGTGTGTTCTCACCGAAGATACACTGTATTTCCTTTTTTTTTAAAACTCATAATCGGAACTGCAGGACACTTGTATGGCTCTTTTTGATGAAGGCTATATGTTGACCCCCGCCCAGAGTTTTCTCTTGCCTTCTTCAGCATTAACGGTTTGAGACTATAGAATAGGATGTGGTCTATGGTGGTTTAATCCACCGCGTTACGTACGTTACCTGTACTCTGTTCAGATTCCTTTTTGTTGTGTGTATGGTCGTGTGCATGTGTACAGGTAATATATTAATGCACGAGATATAACTTGTCGGAGTGGCCAGTTACTATAGG